GAGGAGGAAGAGAATAGTGACAGGGCCTAGCAGCTATAGGTGTCTGCCCTCCACTCTGATGACCTGAGTTCAACCCCCCATCACACATGAGGGTAGAACTGAGACTCCCCAAATTTCCCTCTGCCCTCCACTAAGTGCCATAGGATGTGCATGCCTACATACAGACACACAGATACAGATAAACACCATACACACATACAACACACACACACACAACAAATAACAGACACATACACCATAACACACATACAAACACAAAATAAAAATGCAATGAATTTTTTAAAATCAAGGAAAGTCAGGCAGTTTTTGTTCACGCCTTTAATCCCAGCACTTGAGAGGCAGAGGTAGGTGCATCTCTGTGAGTTTGATACCAGTCTTTTCTACAAAACAAGTTTCAAGACACTCTCCAATGCTACACAAAGAAAGCCTGTCCCAAATAGGTAGAAGAAAGGAACACCAGGCGGTTTAATTCCAGCCCTCGTAAGAGAGAAGCAGTGTAAGGGCACTCTGGTCTGCACAGTAAGCGTTTTACAGCCAGGGCTACACAGAGAAACCAAACCCTGAGTTGAAAAAGAAAAAAAAAAAGGAAAAAGAAAGAAAGAAAAGAAAGGAATGGACTGGTTAATGGGCTCATTCGGTAAGTTCTTTCCATGATTTCTGATGCCCAGTATTTATCTAAAATCCACGAGCATGTCTTTTGCTGTTGTTTTCTGTGCAGTCTTTCGCTGGTCTAGAATTCATTATGTAGGCTAGGTTGGCCTTGAACTTCTGGAGATCTCCATGCATCTGCCTCCTGAGTAGTGAGACTAAACACATGTGTTACCATGTTAATCCCAAGAGTATGACTTTAACCCTAATGCTGAAAGATGGACTTGAGGGTCTTGGGGCTCCCTGGACAGTTACTCTTGTGGAATCAGAGTGTTTCCAGTTTCAGAGAGAGACTGAGACCCTGATTCCAAAAAAGGGAGACGGGTAGGAAGTGACAGAATGTTAGCCTCACAGATGAGCAGGTTAGTGCACCTGCACACATATGTAATGCATTAGTTAGTGCACACGTGCACACACAGAGAAAAACAATCAAAATAGAAAACAAAGGATTCTGCCTAGTCTCTGGCTTACATATGCTAGAAGAACTTTAAATTCAGGATCTAAACATGAGAACACAGCACAGTGAGTCACACATGTGCAAACACACACACACACACATACACACACACACACACACACACACACACCTGCATCCACATGCCTGACTGGCCACTCTGTTGCTCTCTTGGCTGGAATCTCACAAGCTCATCACTGCCCTTCCCTTCCACAGGTCAGTTGTTTCACAGATCAGGCACCAACTGAGAGCCAAGCGTCCTGTGCCCTAGTGCCCAACCCTCACTGGCTCCCCAGTGCCTTCCTATCAAGTGATGCCCAGTGTCCACCAGATTTCACATCTGACAGCTCAGGAACTTGAAAAGTAGCCATGATAAGATTCTGAATAAATAAATCTCTTTCTGACTAGATGCCATCTAAATTAATTTACAGAGTGATATTTGCTATCAAGAGACCAAAGGGCTGACCATAAAAATCCTTGTACAAGCAAAAATAATAATAATAATTCCTTGCCCAGTAACAGCCTTTGAACTGGTATCTCACCACATGCATGCAGCACAAAGCTCAGGAGGACAGTGTGTGTTTTCCCTCTGGGAAGTGCAAACCCTCAGGGCTTTCTATTGGCCTCCTTGGTGTGTGCCTCTCTCTGGCTCTAGACTCCTGCTTTGCCCAGTGTCTATCCTATGCTGCCGCTAGATTCCTACCATTTTACATCATTCCTATCTTCACTAGTTTCTCTCCTTTTCAGTTTCTTGTATTTCTAGCAAAATTCTCCTTACTGTTAACAACCACATAAAATGTCCTCCAAATAAAGGCAGTGGTGGTGCACGCCTTTAATTCCAGCACTTGTGAGGCAGAAGCAGGTGGATCTCTGTGAGTTCATGGCAAGTCTGGTCTACAAACTGAGTTCCAGGACAGCCAGGGCTACACAGAGAAACCGGTCTCAAAGAAATAAAAAGAAAAAGAGTGTCCCCCAGTAGGAGGATCTTACCTGGGCTCCTCTCTCCTGAGGTGCCCTTTCCCCATAGGGAACTATTAGCTTAGACCAGCAGAGACCCTGGGCTGGGAATATGGTCCAGCAGGGATGTTTGCCTAGCATGCACAAAGGCCTGGGGTCCACCCTAGCATGATGGAAACCAGGCATGGTGGTTCATGCCAATAACCCAGAACTTGGGGCGGGGGGGAGGTAAAGGCAGGAAGGTCAGGAGTTCAAGATCATCCTCAGCTATACAGTGACTTAGGCTAGCCTGAGATACATGTGGCCCTTTCTAAAAAAAACAAAATGAATAAACAAATAAAGGAGTGAGTTAATAAATAACACTTATTAGAGGAGATGGTAGGGACACCTGAGTCTTATCACCTTGATATACTTTTCTCTCTATGTGTGCACGTGTAGACCATGTGGGTCCCAGAAATATATTTGCTTTATTTTGTTAGACACAGAGTCTCAGTATGTATCTGCTTGCTCTACAAATCACTAGGTGGTTTGGAGCCTGGCCCCAAACTCAAAAAGATCCTCCTGCTTCTGCCTGCTAGGTGTTCAGATTGCAGATATGAGACACACTGCCTCTCTGAACTCTGCTTTCTTAATGGAGCCAGGCTAAAATATGACAAATCAAGAGCCAGGACCATTTCCTTTTAAGTTAGCTACAAATCTTGGGAACGGATGCTGTTTAGAAGAGTTTATAGAGATGTCAGACTAGGACCGGGTTTGTAGCTTGGTTAGTCCAGTGCTTGCCCAGCATCCACAAAGTTCAGTGAGAGCAGTGCACTACCCAGGTGTGTGCCGCATGCCTGTATTCAGGCTGGAGCACCCGGGAGCTGGAGGCAGGAGGTTCACAAGTTCAAGATAATCTTCTGCTGAATACTCTGAGATACACAGGACCCTATCTCAGAAATTTAAAAAAGCTAATAATAATAGCAAAGAAGCAATCAAAATCTCACTTTTAAGAAATTAAAATTAAGCCTGGCATGCTGGAGTGCACGGTTAATCCCAGCACCTTGGAAGGCAGAAGCATGTGCTTCTGTGAGTTCGAGGCTTCCTGACCTACATAGTGAGACTGAGGGAACAAGAGTATGACCATCTACCTTGGAGACACCCCCATTCTGGCCTGAATAGCACCCCGTTCTCTGTGATTAATCATAGCCTGAGGACCAACCCCACCCCTGCCCACTCATGAGACTAGCATTTCCAATTTCCCTAAGTCAGTGTCATGAAGTCAGCACAAGTAGCATTCCTGCATGTCCTAGATGAACAACTCTGGCCAAACTCACCCTCTGCCCTCTGACCAGCCCTCCTCCCCATCCCTGATAAAACCCTAGCCCGTGGGAGAAGCTCAGTCTCCTCTTCTCTGGTGACAGCCCTTCTCAGGTTGACTAATACACCTGTGCCACAGTCACTGAGCAGCCTCAAGCTCTTTTCCTCTTACACAGGCCTCATCTCAAAATAAATAAACACAATCACATTTCTCCCTAGGCATTACAGATGCTGCATCTACCTTGGTGAGTGCAGCCGAGGACGGGGTTAGCAGGAGCTCGGGGATATCTTCAGCCTTCAGGACCACAGAGAGCCTTCATCCTGGAACCAAACAGGAAAGAGTAGTAGTTGAGGGAGGGCGGAGCTTCTGAAGGGATAGATCAGGACCATGACTTCTCTTTAGCAGCTGACAGACTCCAGAAAACAAAGTGGCTAAAAATACATCTCACTAAGAGAGTATTTTGGTTTTTACTTGGATTTTGTTAGGCAATGTCTCATTTTGTGACCCTGACCGTGCTGGAAGTGAGCTGGCCTTGAATTTACAGAGGTCTGCTTGCCTCTGCCTCCTGAGTGTTTGAACTAAACTCATGTGCCACTATGCATGGCTAAGAGACTATTTGGTTGTTTGAATCAAAACCTATACACAGAGAGCACTTGGAACAGGCAGGATACCAAGAATTATCCTAAAGTGTGTTCCCAGCCCATGTTTAGCCTTTCAAAACGTATAACTCAATGATGAGCTGCCAGTGTCAACTCTTCTATCGGCTGTTGTTTACAGTGGGGTGGGGATCCCAGTGTTAGCTGCACTGCTTCCCTGTGCTGTGTGTGCATCTGCATTCCCACCAGAGGGGCGTTCACTCTTCTTCCATAGCTGCTGCACCGTTGTACACTCTGTACAGGGAGATACAACCTTGCAGTTCCTCCAGGTCCCCATCAAGGTCTGCCTCAGAGCCATCCTAATAGGTAGGAACTGGACACTCATTATGGTTTTCATTTACATTTCTCTAATGCTTATTGATGTTTCGTGGGAATTTTCTTGTTATTGTATCTGTTTGTCCATTTCCATATCTTCACTGTAGAGATGTCTACTAAAGTCCTTAGCCTTTTATTGGGGGTGGGGTTGGGAGTGGGGGTAGGACTAGAGGTAGGGTCTCAGCATGCTGTCCCAGGCTGGATTCAAATATATAATCCTCCTGAGTGTTGAGATCATTGGTCTATCACTATATCTAGCTTCTGCATCCTGTTGTTCTTAAGTGGATTTTTCCCCCCTGGCCAGGTGTGACACATACCTTCAATCCCAACATTTGGAAAGCGGAGTCAGGTAGATCTCTGAGAGTTCAAGCTAGGTTGGCCTATACAATAAGTTCAAGGACAGCCAGAACTAGACAGTGAGACTCTGTCTAAGGGGGAGAGGGGATTCTTTTCTTTCTTTTCTTTGTTTATTTTGGACCCTGTTTCTTGCCCAAGTTGGCCTTGAACTAGCTATGTAACTGAGGATGACCTTAAGCTGTCATTCCTCTGGCTTCCACATCCTCAGTTAAGCTTTAATGGGAACACAGCATAGGTCTCCATACATGGACGAATCAAATGTAGACCATTAAGTGGTCTACAGACTTAATAACTACATTCTCAGTCCTTGCTGTTCGTTTTACTTGGGTAATTTGAGCTAACTAATTAATTTATGAGTCAGGATTCTCATGTGTCTCAAGGCAACCTTGAATTTCTGGCCATCCTGCCTCCACCTTTTCAGTGCTTGGCTTACAGACATGTGTCACTATGTCCAGTTCATGCAATGCAGGAATTGGAACCCAGGGTTTCCTGCACGCATGACAAGCACTCTGCTACACAAGCACTCAACCATAGTGCTCATTTAAATTTTGATTTGTTTGTTTTTCGAGACAAGGTTTCTCTGTGTAACCCAAGCTATCCTGGAACACACTCTGTAGATCCTTAAATTCAGATATCCACCTGTCTCTGCCTTCAAGTGCAGGGATTAGACTTGGGCACTATGACCAGCTAAAAGCTAACTTCTTTATATGCACTTCGTATAACAAAAAATTCTATCATTTAAAATTGGCAGAAAAGAATAGAACAGCAACATTGCAGCAATGTAACATTGTAGCATTATTCTTAAAAGTCTTTAAAAAAAGCCGCTATTTTAGAACACTGGCTTCATTGTTTATCTCTTTTCTTTTACACCCTTCCTAGGGTCTAGATGGGGAGATGGCGTTCTCACTATGTAGCACTGGCTGGTCTTGAACTCATACAGATCTTCACATCAGGCTGACTTTAAACTTGCAATCCTCACACTCAGTCTTTTAAGTGCTAGATTTAGAGGCATGTACTACCACACCTGGCTAATTTCAATTTGAAGGCCCTATCAAAAGGAATGATCAGAAGGTGGCAGGAATTTACACACAGCACTAGTCGCTGCGATATACTTTGTTCCTAGTAAAAATAAGTCAGTACAGTTGTAGAGCATTTGCCTCTCGTGGGCAAGGTTTTCGCTTTAGTCTCCATCCTACATTTACAAATCACAATCTTCTCATTATGCATCGTTGTGTTATTTATCTTTGCCTCACTTGATGCACTGTAAGCTCCAGCTAAAAGGTACACACTTGTTTCCGTAAGAGAAGGGGAACCACAGTCGGGTCTCCTTGTAGAGACTCAGGACAGCACTCTCTCTCCAAGGCAGCTCCAGGTTCAAGGAGCTGTTAGAAGAATGTGGGAGGAATCCTGACTTTATAAACGTCCCTTCAAGGAAGAGCACAGAAAGACAGTAGCTCAGACTTAACCCTGAGGAAGGGTCTAGAAGATAGTTTTCAAGGGCTGGAGAAATGGCTCAGCAATAAGAGCACGGGCTGCTCTTCCAGAGGTCCCTGGTTTGATTCCTGGCATCTACACAGCAACTCAAACCCTCCGTTAACTCCAGTTCCAGGGGATCTGAGGGCACAGACATGCACATGGTGCTCAGACAAACGTGTAGATAAAACACCCACATATCTAAAATAAAATTAAAATCACATGCACACACACACACACACACACACACACACACACACACACGCACGGACAGACACACAGAACTCCTAGATGCGTACAGGTGGGGGCCTCATCAGTTCCTGTTAAGGAAGCAAACAGAGGAGGGTGGTGAGAGCTGCTCACGGGCCACCACGTCTGTGTGTACTCACCCTGAGAAGAGAACTCTCTGTGGTAAACTTCAAAGGCTTTCCTGTGGGCCTTGCTGAGGGTTTGGAGAGCAGAAGCTTTCGAACCCTGGGGGGCAAGATCCAGGATCACTTTCTCCAAGTCGCTGAAGGTGAACCAGATCTCAGCAAGGTCCCCAAAGGACTGGAAGGCGAACGTGGCATAGTCGGCAAAGAGGTCAGCAAAGTCCCTGTCTCTCTGGATGGTGCCGCGGGTGGGTGGCGTCTGGTGGCACAGGACCACCATGGGCTGAAGCTGGGCAGCCTTCAGGGACTGCAGGAGTTGTCGGTAGCACCGCACCGCTTCCTGGTCTGGATTCTTGGGGCTTCCCGTTGGCAGAAGCTGTGCCCATGATAGAAGTACTTTGTAATGGGTGACCTGACTGGCACGAAGACTGCTCAAGTACTGTGGCAAGAAAGAGGGCAATGGCTGTTGGCAGACGTAGAAGTCCTTGCTGCCAGGTCCAAAACCAGAGCCCCGGGTTCCCAGTGGATGGCTCAGGTTAAGCACTAAGTCATTTGTAAGAGGACCAGCGGCTGAAATAAAATTTCTATCGGAATCCCAGGCAGTCCCCTGGCATGAAAGACTCAGGAGGACAGTGCTCAGGAAGAGAGCTGTCCAGGGCAGATCCATGTTCAAGGATCTGTTAGAAGCATGTGGAATGAATCCAGACCTTATAACACTGATGAGGCTGTAAAATATGGTGATTATCCACACAATATTTAACTGTGTTATCTATGATCATTAAATCAGAACTTGGTTCAGTGTAATCTTTAGAAAAAAAAAGTTTTGTGCTTCTGTATACATGTCCATGAACTTGTGTGTGCACAAATATATGGAGGCCAGAGGTAGATCTTGGGCGTCTTCCTCAATTGTGAGCCCTAGGGAGCTGCCTGTCCCAGCCTCTTCAGTGCAGAATTACAGTTGTGTCATCACATCTGGTGTTTTACAAGGACACCGAGCATCAAAACACAGGTCTGCGTTGCTGTACAGCAAGCACTTTACCAACTGAACCATCTCCTTCCTCTGCCCTAACATTTAAAAATTTAAATACTACGAGATGTTATTGGAATTGTTAGGGTGTCTGAACTATGGCAGTCCCAACAAGGTAGGCTCAGGCACTGGTCCCTCAAATGCCAGATATGCAACACTGAAAAAACAGAATTATTCAGTGTGAACAGAATGGAAATAAAGAGGTTTGTTGAATTTCTAGGGCTATCTTCACAGTCCTGATATGAGTTCTGCTATTTTTTTTTTTTTAGATTTATTGCCAGACAGTGGTGACATGCCTTTAATCTCAGCACGGAACTCCTTGAGTTCCAGGACAGCCAGGGGAACACAGAGAAACACCACATGCACACCAGGTAGACTCAGATGCAAGAAGAGGGTGTCAGATCCCCTGGAACTGGAGTTACACATGGTTTTGAGTCACCACACGGATGCTGGAAATCAAACCGGGTCCTCCGCAGAGCAGCAGTGTTCTTATCCACTGCGCATCTCTCCAGTCCATGAGGTTTAAGGTTAAATAAAGGGCACAGCTCAGCAGTTCTGGTCAAGGTGTGGCCCTGCCCCTCACTGTCCATTCAGTTTCTCCTGCAGAGCGGTCTGAGAAGTGTTGACCTGTGTGCCTGTGTGCAGTTCCTTCCTGGAAGACAAGCGCGCACACACACACACACACACACACACACACACACACACACACACACCCCAGTTTCAGCTTTTGTTCTTGCCCTACCCCAAGGCTGCATGGAATTCCAGGGGAAATCCTAATTCCATGGGCTTCCCTGTTCAAACTGTTCTCTAGACATAGGAGCGGGGGTTATAGGTCTCCCTCCGAGGAATGAAGGTTACACCAACAAACTTCATACTAGGACAGGAAGTTGCAAATACCTGAACAAATCAGATGAAATTTGACACAAGAAAAATGAACTCCTCTCTCTGAAAACAGGACCACAGTTCAGCGGTGGTGGCCTTTAACTACAGCACTCGGTAGGCAGTGATAAGCAAGGGGGGGGGGGAGGGGACACAATAGGAATGGTGATGCCTATCTTTAACTCAGCACTCAGGAGGATGAAGTAAGTGGATTTGTGAGTTTTAGGCCAGTCAGAGCTTGTAAGACCACCTAGAAAAACCAAAGTTCAGACAATCAAAACGGGATAGGAGTGGAAAGACAGCTCAGTGATTTAAGAGCACCTGTTGCTTTAAGCAAAGGACCCAGGTTTGCTTTCCAGCACCCAAGGGGTGGTTCACGAGGGAATCTGAAGCCCTCCTGACCACAGGCACCAGAAAAGCATGATACATATACATACATGCAAGCAAAATACTCACACACATAAATAAATCTTGTAAAAGTGGGAAGCAACCCTTCTCTATATACATGTATACATGGTATTACGTGCATGTGTATTCGTGTGGAGGGTGGGGGGCAGCTTTGGTCAGGCATCACAGATGAGATCAGTTGGGACTCTCCCATGTTTGTCCTGGGGATAAAACCCAGGTTCTCAGGCATGTACAAGTGCTTTATCTGCTCGTCTAGCAGGAGCCCCCCTTTTTTAAAAAATTTATTTTTATTGCGTATACATCATTCTGCCTCCATGTATGCCCACATGCCATAAGAGGGTGCCAGCTCTCATTACAATTACAGATGGTTGTGAGCCACTATGTGGTTGCTGGGAATTGAACTCATGACCTCTGGAAGAGCAGCCAGTGCTCTTAACCACTGAGTCATCTCTCCAGCCCGCAGGTCCCCTTTTTATTTTCAAGCTGGGTCTTTCACTGGGTTGGGAGTGATCTAGTAGGCTAGGCTGCCTGGCAACACCAGCATCTACAACTCTTCTTCCCCAGGGCAGAGATTACAAGTATACACTACCACATCCAGGTTTATTTACTTTCCATACTCAGTTCCTTGTGTTTGAGGGTGAAGAGATAAGTATTTTAGCGACTGAGCTACCTCAAAAGCCAATATAAAAACTATTAAGTTTTCAAACCAGGTAGTGGTGACACATACCTTTAATCCCAGCACTTGAGAGGCAGAGGCAGACAGATCTTGAGGCCAGCCTGGTCTCATAATGAATTTCAGGACAGCCAGGACTACATAAACTTCGTCTTGAAAAATAAAACAACCTATCAAGTTTTCATAACCACCTTAAAATATAATGAAGAGTTTTCAAGTGTCTTTTCTAAAGGTACATGTGAAGTCAGGTGTGGTGGTACATTCCTTTAATCCTACTACGGGGGAAGACAGAGGCAGTTCCAGGCCAGCCAGAACTACATAGTAATACCGTCTTTAAACATACACACAACACACAGAACTCCTTAGTGAGACTGTCTTTACACACATACAAACCACAAGAAGCCTACTAAAGTATTTTTCTTTCTTTTTTGAGAGAGGAATTCACTGTGTAGCCCTGGCTGTCCTTTGAATTCAGAGATCCGCCTGCCTGTGTCTCCTAAATGCTGGGATTAAGGGCCTGTGACACAGCTGGCCAGCTTTACTTACATATTTCTCTAGTTTGTATAATTCAATTATTACTGTACATATGTGCAGCAGCATAACATGTAGAAGTCAGAGACAACTTTGTAAAGGGACTTTCTTTTCACCGTGGTTTCCAGGGATTGAACTAAGTTGCATGGCAAGTGTCTTTAGTTGCTAAACTATCTCAACATTTTAAAATTTTTATTTAAAACTAAAATTTAGCCAGGCAATAGTGGCCCATGTCTTTAATTCTAGCACTTGGTAGACAGAGGCAAGCTGATCTGAGTTCAAAGCCAGCCTAATCTAGAATAAGTTTCCAGGACAGCCAGGGTTACAGAGTAAGTCTGATTCAAACCAAATCGTGTGGATGAATGTTTTGCCTGTGAGTAAATATGTGCATTACTAGTCCTATTCCTTGGGTGCCATTCAACTTTAAAAAAACAAAAACAAGAACTTGCCAAGTATGCTATCAGGCCCCAGGGACACTGCCTGTTTCTACCTCTCCAACAAAGAAATTATACCCCCCGATATTTTGCATTGGGTGCTGTACTGGCTAGTTTCATGTCAACTTCACACAAGCTCAAGTCAGCAGATAGGAAGCCTCAATGGAGAAAATGTCTCCATTAGATAGGGCTGCAGGAAAGACTATGAAGTATTTTCTTTTTAATTAATGGGAAAGGGCCCAGTTCATTGTGGGTGATGCCACCCTGGGCTAGTACTCCTAGGTTCTAAGGCTGAGTAAGTCGTAGGAAGTAAGCTAGTAATCAGTACCCATCTATGGCCTTTGTTGCCTGATTCCTGCCCTAAAAACTTTTGATGAACAGTGCTGTAGAGGTTTAAGTCCCTCTACTTTGACTGCTTTGTGGTCAGTGTTTCATCACAGCAACAGTAACTCTAAGACAGGCCTTTACACACTTCACTGACTAGGCTTTCTCCCTAGTCCCTTTCAACTCTGTAGTTATGGATGGTCTGGAACTCTCTATTACCAACTACGCCTTCGAGATAAATTCTAGTCTATGATCTGTCCACCTCAGCTACCTAGGAGCTGGGATTACAGACAGGCTAAACACATCTGCTGGCTCAAGTTACTTAGACCTCTCATATAACAGAAAAGGTTGCTCTCTAGCTGGGTGGTGGTGGTGATGCCATGACTTCAGTCCTAGCACTCAGAAGGCAGAGGCAGGTGGATACACAGGAGTTCAAGACCAGCCCTATCTCAAAAAACAAAACAAAACAGAAAAACAACAATAACAAAAACCCCTTCTCTGTTGGCAAACAAATGAAGTCAATCCCGATGACTGGAGTACAACCTAGGAAATCCCACGTGCCAGGAAAGATTTCCTGGGATTCGTACACAGATACCACAGCATGCACACCCCCACCAAACAAATAAATTTAATAAAAAATGGTCTATTTCTTCTTAAAAAAAAAAAAAGAAAATGAAATCATTACCCAAAAAATTACCCTTAAGACAGAAATAAAATAAATCAGTACTGAGTAAATGATAAGTCTTTATATCAAAAGCCCAGCACTCAAGTTAAAACAAGAGGATCAGGCATTCAAGATTAGTAACAGGCTACTTGGGACCCCATACCCCTGCCACTCAAAAAAAGCAAAATAAACAAACCCCCTCCCACAGAAAAACATCCCAAACCAATACTGAAATTAACTTCAGAAACTCACCTCCAAGGCCTCTCTACCACAAGAAACTTACTCGTGGAAAGGGAAGCAATAATCAAGAGCACAAATGAATCCAACAAACAACTGCAGAACAAGTTATTTTATTTTAATGAATAAAAGCAGTAGTTGGAAATAGAAGAAGGCAATTTCCAGATATGTATATAACAAAAGCAGCAGGCTTTCCTAAACACGAAGACAAAGGTCTTACAGAAAGAACATGAAGGGTTCTGACTTCAACAGAACAAGAAGCACAAAGTGCCCAAGCCTGTCTCAGTTGGAGGCTCAAAGGGCCATGAATTCAGCTCTCACTCCTCAAAACATCACTCCAGAAACTGTCTCTCCAGGGCGTCACCAGGCTCTGGTGCAGAGGTAGGGCACCACAAGTCCTTGTGTCTGGCTGTACAGTTACCTTTAATATCTCAGTCTTCAAGCAAGTAGTTAGGGTTGACTACCAAGTAGGGGTCTTCCTCATAGCTCTC